GTCCAGTGGCTGAGTGACTCTCGCTTCGCACTGGTCTGTCACTGGCAGGACGGCGTTTGTGGAGGCGGGCGGGCCCGGACCGCCCCGTGCATGCGTCATAGGTCACTGCCGTGCTCGGTGCGGTGCACTGCGCCGTGGACATGATGATGACTCTGTTTCCCTAAGTGGCATCGTCGGGCACACTGCGCGCGCTGCGAGGCGCGAGCATCGTGAGCTTTGCCCGCTTTGCCCGCTTTGCGATTAGCGCGATAGTCACAGTCATGGCCGCGGCCGCCGTGATTCCACATTATGATAAGCGGACAGTAATTAACCCCATCGGCCGAATAATGACTCGCGACACATCCCTTTATTCGCAGCATAATTGACATTGTTCGCAGCTGCATCGCATTATTCCCAGTGTGCCCGACGCGGGCCCCCGACGGGCCCCGACGGGGCGGCCAATTAAAACCGACAACAAATGACTCTGTTTGCGCGCGGTGCGCCGCAGTACGCCGCGCCACTGTTTCGGCATGCACCATTTTTCATACCGCCACTCGTGGCGTAACGTTGTCAAGTCTTTCTGTGGAAATTGCGCGCTGTGTTCGCCCTCGGCCCTCGGCCTGGCGGGGCTGTTGGCGCGGTGGCGGTGGCTTGGTGAGGATAAGCAGCCGACGCGTCGCGTCGCCTTGCCGTGCCGTGCCGTGCCTTGCCCCGGGCTGCAGCCACTTGAACCCCCTCCCCTGCCCTCCACCAGGACCGCCACCCTCTCCTTCTTTTCTTCTTTGCGTTTTCGCCTCATCCCTTCTATTCTCATCAGCGGGGGCGGCCGTGCCGCGCCGCGCCGGTTCCGCGAGATCCGTTTTTCCGCGTGGAAATCCTGAAGCGTTTGTTGCTCGGATATTCCGGGAAATCACTTAATTTTGTCGAGAAGTTTGTACAGACAGCAGCAGGGATCCGGCGGCTCGCTGGCGATGTCGACGCCGATGGAGCTGGCTCGCAGATGCAGCCTTTGCCGTCCTATGCCGTCTCGCAGCGACGAGGCCGAAGAGGAAGGCTGCATGGAGGCGCAGCGGCGCGCGGGAGAGGATGACAAGAGAGTAGTCATCTTTGTCTTGGTGCAGCGCGACTCACCCCTCCGTGCATAACACCTCCAGTGTAGCGCCCCGCGCCCCCGCGGCTTAAATAGCCTGATTTTCGCTCTCTCCTCGCGGCAGACACGACCCGACGCCTTCCTGCCCTCACCCCCTTCCATAACCCTTTTCCCTTTTTCGCTGATGGGAGTCGCGGGGTATTGTAGAGCCGCGCGCTGTTCCGCGGGGACAGAGACAGGGACAGAATGGGGTGTGCGAGCGAGAGGCCGCGCGCCCCAGAGAGAGAGAGAGAGCTGCTCACATTATCCCCACCTTGAGTGTGAAGTTTGCCACCCCGCCATAGCTAAGCTCCTCCCCCCTATTCACACGGACGTGCACTCTCGCACTCACACACTCTCCCGCGGCCAGTTCACCAGCCCTTCTCCCCGCGTCCGGTCACGTGGGTCGCGCTTCCATTGTCTGGCCGCCTTTTTTTTTTGCCCAAGGCTGGATGGATAGCCGGAGCGGCCGGAGCAGCCGAAGCAGCTAGGCCCTCCCGCTGCGCGTCGCCGCCACCGGGATGCCTACCCGCCGGGCGCCTCGCCTCGCGTTAGTTGCAGTTGCATTGCACCCAAGCCTCGCGTCGGTGAGAGAGAGAGAGAGAGAGAGAGAGAGAGAGAGAGAGAGAGAGAGAGAGAGTAGTGTGTGTGTGCATGGCGTTGAAAATCTGGCAGCTTTTGACGCGACAGGAGGTCGTGGCTGCTTGCGCTGGTCCACGTGCTGCTGGCCGTGTAGTGCGCAACCCAGACACATCTGCCGCGCGGTGCTGCGGTGTCGCGGTGCCCCGAGCCATCGCCGCCGAACCGAAAAGCTTTTCACGCCGAGGATGAGCCGGGCGAGCGGTGTCAGGGTGCCTGCCTGAGCAGCGCTACCGAACACTCGCCACAAAAATTCACTCCAAATGGTAGTTATTCGTGTATACTCCGCCGATGGCTTACCCAACTTCGATTCAAAATTATCAAACTTTTGTTGACTGTCGCGGAGTAGCTGTTTTTGCTGACTTTGGGCGGCCACTGCGTCCAGTTTAGTTGCGGTCAAAGGCCTCCCTCAACGCCATAGTATTCGGAAGACCCTACTCTTTCATGCCCCGACTCGGGAAGGGCTTGACCGCTGATGGTTTGGGAGCAGTGGTCTTGCAAAATGGCCAAAAAGTGAATAAATTTCAGAAAGTAGCTGTTTTTGCTGACTTTGGGCGGCCACTGCGTCCAGTTTAGTTGCGGTCAAAGGCCTCCCTCAACGCCATAGTATTCGGAAGACCTTACTCTTTCATGCCCCGACTCGGGAAGGGCTTGACCGCTGATAGTTTGGGAGCAGTGGTCTCGCAAAATGGCCAAAAAGTGAATGAATTTCAGAAAGTAGCTGTTTTTGCTGACTTTGGGCGGCCACTGCGTCCAGTTTAGTTGCGGTCAAAGGCCTCCCTCAACGCCATAGTATTCGGAAGACCCTACTCTTTCATGCCCCGACTCGGGAAGGGCTTGACCGCTGATGGTTTGGGAGCAGTGGTCTTGCAAAATGGCCAAAAAGTGAATAAATTTCAGAAAGTAGCTGTTTTTGCTGACTTTGGGCGGCCACTGCGTCCAGTTTAGTTGCGGTCAAAGGCCTCCCTCAACGCCATAGTATTCGGAAGACCTTACTCTTTCATGCCCCGACTCGGAAGGGCTTGACCGCTGATGGTTTGGGAGCAGTGGTCTCGCAAAATGGCCAAAAAGTGAATAATTTAGAAAGTAGCTGTTTTTGCTGACTTTGGGCGGCCACTGCGTCCAGTTTAGTTGCGGTCAAAGGCCTCCCTCAACGCCATAGTATTCGGAAGACCCTACTCTTTCATGCCCCGACTCGGGAAGGGCTTGACCGCTGATGGTTTGGGAGCAGTGGTCTTGCAAAATGGCCAAAAAGTGAATAAATTTCAGAAAGTAGCTGTTTTTGCTGACTTTGGGCGGCCACTGCGTCCAGTTTAGTTGCGGTCAAAGGCCTCCCTCAACGCCATAGTATTCGGAAGACCTTACTCTTTCATGCCCCGACTCGAGAAGGGCTTGACCGCTGATGGTTTGGGAGCAGTGGTCTCGCAAAATGGCCAAAAAGTGAATAAATTTTAGAAAGTAGCTGTTTTTGCTGACTTTGGGCGGCCACTGCGTCCAGTTTAGTTGCGGTCAAAGGCCTCCCTCAACGCCATAGTATTCGGAAGACCTTACTCTTTCATGCCCCGACTCGGGAAGGGCTTGACCGCTGATGGTTTGGGAGCAGTGGTCTCGCAAAATGGCCAAAAAGTGAATAAATTTCAGAAAGTAGCTGTTTTTGCTGACTTTGGGCGGCCACTGCGTCCAGTTTAGTTGCGGTCAAAGGCCTCCCTCAACGCCATAGTATTCGGAAGACCTTACTCTTTCATGCCCCGACTCGGGAAGGGCTTGACCGCTGATGTTTGGGAGCAGTGGTCTCGCAAAATGGCCAAAAAGTGAATAAATTTCAGAAAGTAGCTGTTTTTGCTGACTTTGGGCGGCCACTGCGTCCAGTTTAGTTGCGGTCAAAGGCCTCCCTCAACGCCATAGTATTCGGAAGACCTTACTCTTTCATGCCCCGACTCGGGAAGGGCTTGACCGCTGATGGTTTGGGAGCAGTGGTCTCGCAAAATGGCCAAAAAGTGAATAAATTTCAGAAAGTAGCTGTTTTTGCTGACTTTGGGCGGCCACTGCGTCCAGTTTAGTTGCGGTCAAAGGCCTCCCTCAACGCCATAGTATTCGGAAGACCTTACTCTTTCATGCCCCGACTCGGGAAGGGCTTGACCGCTGATGGTTTGGGAGCAGTGGTCTCGCAAAATGGCCAAAAAGTGAATAAATTTCAGAAAGTAGCTGTTTTTGCTGACTTTGGGCGGCCACTGCGTCCAGTTTAGTTGCGGTCAAAGGCCTCCCTCAACGCCATAGTATTCGGAAGACCTTACTCTTTCATGCCCCAACTTGGGAAGGGTTTGACCGCTGATAGTTTGGGAGCAGTGATCTCGCGAAATGGTAAAAAGTGACTGAGTCCCAGTGGTTTTATCGGATGATGTTGATTATTTCACTGATTACCAACTAGGCGTGCAATTATTATCTTGAGTTGGGAACCGCTTGGTACGTGCTGTGAACACGCGGTGCGGCAGCCGCACCGCGACACTCTAACGTTGGCAGTCTGCAACCGGCCGACGGGACCAAGCGGCGCGGTGTGGCGCGGCACGGCACCGCGTGGCGTGGCTGGAGGGGAGGTTTTGTAAACGCAAGACTGGAGTGTCAGGTGTTGCAAGCGCTTCGAGCAGCGGCAGCAGCACGCGGGAATCGAGGAGCCGAGCACTGCGACAACAAGAAAACATACCTTGAAAAAAAAAGACACCCACTCTTAATTTTCACCTTCCAGTGAGTGCGGGTGGCACGGCGGTTGGACGTCGCCGGACGACGGATCGCTATGTTAAATCGAGCCGGGGGATTACTCTCGGCGCGGGGCTGGGAGACCAGGGGACCGAAGGGACCGAATCTGTGAAGATCACAAGATAATCCGAGTCATTATCCTGCGGCCACGGTCACCGCGCGCTCAAGGCGCGGTCCAAAAAAAAAGGAGGAGGGGGTGTTTGTGTCACCCGGCTCGTCCAGGTCGACGCCGGCAGCGCGTCAAAGTTCATCGGGGGCGAACGTGATGGCGGCACCAGATACGATCATGCGCTACACAGCTGAAATTTTGAGAGGTTTTTGCCTGGGTCCATGCGATGAGGCTGATTTTCGGTGTCCCGATGAACCCCCGGATGAACCCTTGTCGTTCGCGATCATGAATCACGTTCATCACCGTGTCTTAATGTTTTTTTGTTGCTGAATCGAGTGATCAAATGAGATTCCCGGCTCGACGACTTACCAGATGTCTCTTGTGTTGCAGGCGTATGTTCCCCGCCTACAAGGTGCGGGTGACCGGCCTGGACAAGAAGGCCAAGTACATCATGCTGATGGACATCGTGGCGTCGGACGACTGCAGATACAAGTTCCACAACAGGTGAGTGCTGATGCCACCGCACTGCCAAAAGGCGTGCAAGGGTTGTCTCCCACGGCCCAGGCCAAACAGGCGGCCGGCCGTGGCTCCTGCAGCAGGCTGGGCGGGGGTCTCTCTGTCTGCCTCGCACCCGTGCGGCGCGCCCCTCGAGTAAGAGAGAGAGAGAAAGCTCGGGATGAGACTGCAGCCCACTCGGCACCGCATAATGGAAGATTATCCGCTGCGAGACGGTGCCGTGGACGGCCGCCGCGCTGCTGCAGCAGACACGGCGAAGCGCGCAGAGCAGTCTTTTTGTGATTGTCCAGGGGACTGCTTTGACAAGTCTGGCGACACTCTGTCGGCCGGCCTCTTTTTATTTTCAAAGGTGGTGGCCCTGCTGCGCCCGCTGTGGCGCTTGGGCTCCAGTGCGCACAGTGTGGGTACATACAGTGTGCGCCGACTGGCCGCCCAGGGCCGCCGGCCGGCAGGGTCCTTGATAGATAACGCCCTGCGCGCCAATTTGCTGAGTAATTTCATTCCCCAAAAATGACGCTTGCATTCTCGCTTCAACTGAACTGTTTTGTGCCTTGCAGCCGGTGGATGGTGGCGGGCAAGGCGGACCCGGAGATGCCCAAGCGGATGTACATCCACCCGGACTCGCCGCTCACGGGGGAGCAGTGGATGCAGAAGCTCGTCAGCTTCCACAAGCTCAAGCTCACCAACAACATCTCCGACAAGCACGGCTACGTAAGCATCCCATCTTCTTTTATTGACCCGCGAGGGTGTGTGTACAAACGGGTGCGGGGTCTGCATGCGTGGCCAGCGCCAACAACAACCCGCCGCGCAGAAGATACTCCGCGCGCTGCGGGGCGTGGGGTATCGTCGAGTCCCTTTGGTCTGCTCGGAGCCAAAGGGAATCCCATCGCGGACACGCAACGCAAACAGCGGCAGGGGAGACTCCGAGCGAGGAGGCCAGTGCCCAAAGTCCATTGGCACTGAAAGGCCGACGTGAAACTCACGCGAAAACTCTACGATCGCACAAACGAGTGCATGGCTTCTTTCCAAACTCGCCAACGCGCACTGATTCGGTAGGAATGATTTGGAGATAAATTGCAAAGGCTTTCACTACATTTCAATGTTTAGAGTCTCACCCTACGCAGTTTCCACCCGCCCACTCGGTTGCGACCGTTGCGACGCCTCCCCGGTCGGTCGGTGTGGCGTCTGGAGATGGCGATCTGTCGCCTCTGCCTGGCCTGCCTCCGCCTGGCTTTGATGTCGCCGCCCTCCGCGCGCATGGCCACCTCGGAGCGTGAGAGACTTGGCACCTCCACCCCCGCGCACCTTGCGCGTCCGGAGGGGAGGGTCCTCAGGGTCCCGGAGGGTCCTGGAGGCTGTGTGTGTGTAGGTGCGTGTGTGCGCGTATCGGTAGCGAGTCAGGCCGTCCTGGATGAAGCAGTGTCCTGGAGGATGAGGCTCTTCTTGGCCAGGCCGTGCGCCATGCAAAAATGAAACCGAGCAGGGGTGAAGCTTGTTACGGGGCCGAGGTAATGCGTGCCAGGTAATGTACGCCGGCAGGGCCAGCAGGGCCACAATGCTAATCCAATATGGTGGCGCCCTTGAATGGATCCGAGCAAACTGCGCGCCGTCCCCGCCGCCGCCAAGCAGAGCGTCAAGCAGGGCGTCCTCAAGTGGGCCGGCTGTCCGCAGAGATGACCTCAACGGACACCGTGGTGGCTATGCCGGGCTGCCGGGGCGTTTGAAGTCCGCCGCTGGTTGGGCCGCCGCCTCGCCGGCTGCTCCATCTCCATCCCGATAGTCCCTACAAGATTACCCGCGAGACAATGTCTGGGGAGGAGGAGGAAAAAATCGGCGCTTTCGATAGACTCGAAACGGCTTAAAGGCTCAGGGAGGGAGCGACAGCGGCCGGGTGACCTTTGGCTCGCCTTTGGCTCGCCTTTGGCGCTGGAGGCGAGGCGGCGCGTCCTCACACCTCCGTGATCCATCTCGGGGTGTCGCGGCCGCGCTGCCAGGGTGCCGCCCTGACGGCCTACTCCCTACACAGCGTCCCACGCACGACCTGCAGGTGCGCGGGGGCCTTGGGCTGCCGTGGCCTCTTGGCGTGGGCCAGACACATCCATCAAAGGGCCGAAGGGAACCGACGGGAGGCCGAGGGGGTGGTGCCGTCCGACACTGTCTCGTCCAGGCGATCGAAGTCCCCAGGCAGGCCCCGCGGCCCCGCGTTCGGTGGTTCGGTGCGGGCGTCGTTGTCGTGCCACCGCGGGGCGCGGCAAATTTCAGCGGCCGAGGCGTGAAAACTTGGGCAGGCGGTCCGTTTGACGGCGTCGGACGCAAAAAAACTTGCGGCGGCTCGTTTGGCGGTACAGTCAGGCGCGAAAGGTCGCGACTTTGTTCTCCTATTACGGCGGGTCTTTCGCACCGCCGGGGCACCGCCGGCATCGCCAAGCAGTGCGGCGTCAACGAGGCTGACGTCTTTGTGATGTTTGGCCGACAATGTGTGCATTATGCACCCTGGCTCCGCTTGGCTCGCCGGGCCGGGGGCTGCCAATGGAGGCAGCGGGGCGCGACGAGGGCCTGGCCCGTCCAGCCCGTCGGGCCAGGCGCAGCCGGGCGCCTACAGGTGTGTGGTGGTGGCCCGGCCGGGCTGCCTAGCCGGGCCCTCGCCCGGCCCGGCCCGCCCGACCCGCGCGGGGGTAGTTTTAATTGATTCTCACACGCAGTGCGCGCCAGCCCAGATTTCACGGCTCGCACGGCGCGGGTCCAGTACTGTACCACAAAAAGAATATAACGAGACCTTAACCTACCGTAATTGAAAAATTCTTTGAAATTGTTCACTTTTTAACGGTGGCCTAGCGCAAAAATTCGTTCTTAAACATTTCTTTTTCCAGCCAAAAAGATTTTGAAAAGTTTGGTTTTTATTTGAGGCCCCGAGGGGTGCGTCCTACGCGGCCGGCGGCACTGCACGGTGCACCCTGGGGCACCCTGGGGCACCGCACCCCGGGGAGTAGTGGCGAGGCCGCCACTTGGTGTGGCCGGGGATCATCCCGTTCCCTTCGCTTCTCTTCATTACATGCCTGTCTGCGCGGCGCAGTCCGCGGCAGCTGACGACCCGGCCGATTCCGCCGCCGAAAAAGAAAGAAAGTGGGGGTCACTTTGTTCTTTGTTTGGAGAGGCGACACGACACGCACGGCGGTCCGTACCGTTGCACGGAATCGGCTGGTCGGCCAGTGTGCCGCCCGGCGCCTCTCGCCCCACTCAGGGCGGACCGGCCCGCCAACTGAGACCCCAGCGCCACCCTTTGGTACCCTTTGGTCGGTTTGGCGGCTGCAGCGTGAGCAGTCGGTGGCGGGTCCGGGCGGGCCGGCCTGGCCGGGATGGGGAGGTAGCGGAGCGCGTCAAGCGCGATGCGCGCGCCCTGATGCAAGGTGACAGCCCCGCCGCGCCGCGTGAGGGCCGCGCAAGTGCCGCGCCCACTGCCGCAGTTGCGAGGGTCTTGCCGGGCCGCTCGGCGGTACCGACGGGCCCGTCCTTTGAGGTCCCCGCCGTGCCGCGCCACGCCGCGCCACGCCGAGCCACGCCACGGCACCTCTTGGCAGCGGCGCCAGCTCCTCTTATGGGTGCAGCCATGTGGACGGATGGATGCGTGCATGGATAGCCTGCTCCTTCATGGCGATGGAGTGCTGGAGGAAAACGGCAGCGGGGCCGCGCCTAAGCCACCTGGAGGTCGACGGCGACGTGTCGACGGCGACGTGTCGACGGCGACGTGTCGACGGCGACGTGTCGACGGCGACGTGTCGACGGCGACGTGCTGACGCGCGGCCCCTCTCTCGCGCCGCAAAGGCGGCCGTCTTCTAATGGCTCGGAGTAAAAATTGGGCATTCCCTGTGACGGCGCGTGTCGTCCCAGGAGACGGTGGTGGCGCGGCGAACGCGGCGAACGGCAATGCAAATCCCATCGGCAAAAAGGGTGTGGCTTTCAGGCTTAAGGTCTTATTTGGGGCGGGCAAGGGCCGCGTCCGCCCTGGGGGACCTCTCTGGGTGTGTGCAGCAGTACAGTGTACTCACACTGCCATGGCGGCGACGCCTAAGCTTGGCAGTGCTTGGCAGTGCGACTCCAGCGCGGCCTTTCACTCTGGGAGACTCTGGCGGAAAAGAAAAGAGAACGAACGGATCGGCGCTCCCGCAGGTGATAATGACAAAGGGGCGACGCTCGGCTCTACAGTGCGGCGCCACTCGAACCCCGACCCGAACCCACACCGCCCGACCACGGGCCCGACCCGACTCGCTACTGAGTGCAAACACGGTCCCAGACCCGAAAGAAAATCAACAGTCCTTTTTTTTCGCCCCCCTTTTAAAGTGTTTGGCCGTTCGTCTATCCATCATATATGGCGAGACTTGCGGGGGCGGGCGAGGCTGGCGGCGGTTGGCTGATTACCTGGGCCTGACGGCCTGACGGCCTGACAGGCGGCACCGCCCCGAGGGCGCCGTCGTCGCGCCGTGCGATACGACGGGGTGGCCCTACATGGGCTTGGCGCCGCTTGCCGCGCTCGGCGCCACCACCGAGAAAACACCCCGAGTGTGGGCCCGGACCGCGTCTGTGTGCGTCGCGTGTTTGTTTGTGTTTGTGCAAGTGTGTGTGTCTGTGTGCGTGGAATCCGCAGAGTCCAGTCCGCTTGTGACGTACTAAATCCTTTGCGTCAGTGTGATTGTGTGTGTGTGTGTCCTCTTCCCAACGCTGCATTATGTCGGAGTTCATTAAAACCGTCCTGTTTTAATTTCAGTTACCGGGCGAATAACTTATTGACCCACCCTAATGCTGCCCCTGCATCCCCCCTATCCCCGCCAGTCCGGCATATATGAAGGATGGCCCCTAATTCAATTTCCAGCCAGTGTGTTAGTCATTCATTTGTCTGTGGAAAAATGAAGACGTTGGCATGCTACCTGTCTGCGAGTGTGTGTGTGTGTGTGTGCGTGTGATTTATCAGGGGGTGTGTGCGGCCTTGCTCGGGCAGCAGGGCGCCTACACTGCAGGGCGGACCGCTAATGGCCGGCAGCCCTAACGATCCACAAACCAGCCGTGAAATCAGCAGCAGACTGCCAGTGTGTGTGTGTGTGGGGGATGTTTTTAATTAATGCCCGGGCGTGTGTGGGGCGCAGCTTCCAGTGTGGCTCCCGAAAGATTTGACTAGGCAGTGGAGTTGCCGCGCTGCCGCCAAACCACTGCGTGTGCCCGGCTGCCTCGGCCTGTCTGCACCCTGCACTGCACACGCCGCCCGAAGCGACGCCGCCGCGCCCTGGCGATTCCGAACGCGTTGCGCGTCTCTCCCTGTCACCCTCACGGTTCGCTCCACGAGTGCGACGGAGACGGAGCGACGAAATTGCGACTCTTCCGAATGAGTCTACTGGCCGCGCTGCGGCGACGCGAGGGAAACCGTTCGTTACCGACAAGTGGCCCACAATGGGCAGGAAGAGCGCACAGTGCCCGTCCGCGGCCTGCCGCTGCCTCCCGGGGAGAGTCACACGACTAACTATAGGAGACCCCCGATGATCGTAAAAATCCGTAATCTGGGTCACGCCGCAGGTAGTCGCTGTCGGGGACGGTCGGGTCGTCTTCGGCTTGGCTCGGTCTCGTTCGGCTCCGTGCTCGACGGGGACGCGCCTCCCCCGGCGTGGCGGCGCGTAGCTGGCGAGCCTTCGGCGGGTCCTCGAGGCCCGAAGGGACGACGGAAACACCCGACCGTCCTCGACAGCCCCGCCGGAGCGCGCGGCCGGTTTTATGAGGGGGCAATTTAGCTTGTACGCGCTGGTCTGTGCATTGGGATACAGCACCGGGGGTCTCCTATAGTTAGTCGTGTGGGAGAGTCGCAGCGCGCAGTGCAGGCGCAGCCTCACCGGCCACGCCGGGGCAGGGGCGTAGCCAGGGCGTAGCTCAGGCGGCTGAGGCTAAAGCTGAGGCCAGTGGCGTAGCCGGGACGGCGGACCAGCGGGGGGCGCAGCCGCTATTTCAGAGGGGAGGGGAGGGGGACGTCGTCCACTGCACTGTGTGTGTATGGTGTGTGTGTGTTTGTATGTATGTGTGTGTCCACGAACCCCCCACCCCTTTCGGGGCTCCCCCTCCCCTTGCAGGCTTCCCGGTGAAGCCCTTTCGAGAGGTGCGGGGCCTCTAGGGCCGGTCCCCGTCGGTCCCCGTCGGCCCCCGTCGAAGCGCATGCCGTAGAACACCTCCGCGTCGGCTGATCCTCTCCTCGCCGAGCGGATAAAATTAGAACTCCCCGCCGCGCCAGGCAGGCCGCCCTTGGACGCGCTGCCGCTGCCCCTGGAGGGTGAGGGGGCAGGGCGGGGTCACCCTGCCTGGCCGCGCCAATATTTTCCCCCAGCTGCTCATTTATTATTGACTGGCGCGAACGGCCGCCACGCGCGGCTATTGCGTCACGCGCGTCACACTTTCACCTCCACGATGACGACGAAGTGCTGCTCGTCAACAACACTTTGCGGCGGTCTTCTCGGCCCGCCGTGTCGCAACCACTGTGGCACTGCACTGCAAGCGCCAGTGGCTGCCCACTGCTCTTCAAAAGAAGTTGTAACGGCTTGAAAACCCACCGCTTGTGCTGCAATTTTGATCTGGGGTCGTATTTTGGGCCGATTTTAAGCAGCCACTGCGTCTGATCCGAGGCGGGCATTTTGCTCCCTCAACGGCCAATTGGTCTTAGGACCTTCCTTTAGCATGCATTTGTCACGGAGTGCGATTATCTGCCTTAGTTTGGAAGCAGTATTGCCGCAAAGTTGATCAAAACGGTCACAAGTGTCTGAGAAAAATCGTGTTTTGGGCCGACTTTAAGCATCCACTGCGTCTGATCCGAGGCGGTATTTCATCCTCCCTCAACGGGCAATTGGTCTTTGGACCTTCCTTTAGCATGCCCCTGTTACGGAGTGCGATTATCAGTCTTCGTTTGGGAGCAGTATTGTCTCAAAGTTGACCAAAACAGTCACAACGATTTTGCAAAGACATTTGCGACCGTTTTGATCGACTTTGAGACAATACTGCTCCCAAACTAAGACTGATAATCGCATTCCGTAACAGAGGCATGCTAAAGGAAGGTCCAAGGACCAATTGCCCGTTGAGGGAGCAAAATGCCCGCCTCGGATCAGACGCAGTGACTGCTTAAAATCAGCCCAAAACACGATTTTTCATAGACATTTCTGAGCGTTTCGGCCAACTTTGAGACAATACTGCTCCCAAACTAAGACTGATAATCGCACTCCGTAACAGAGGCATGCTAAAGGAAGGTCCAAGGACCAATTGCCCGTTGAGGGAGCAAAATGCCCGCCTCGGATCAGACGCAGTGACTGCTTAAAATCAGCCCAAAACACGATTTTTCATAGACATTTCTGAGCGTTTCGGCCAACTTTGAGACAATACTGCTCCCAAACTAAGATTGATAATTGCACTCCGTAACAAATGCATGCTAAAGGAAGGTACTAAGACCAATTGGCCGTTGAGGGAGCAAAATGCCCGCCTCGGATCAGACGCAGTCGCATGCTAAAGGAGGTGTCCCGTGGGGTCGCGAAATTTTTCCTGGGGGTCGCGGAAATTTTTGGCTACAAATTTGGCCATGACGGCGATGGAGGGCGGGGGTGGCCGCCCCCACCCCCACCCCTTCGGGGCCCAAGGGCGGTAATTAGCCCTCGCCGGGGCCGTGGGGCCGTGGGGGCTTTGCGTTCGACGTGTCTTCCGTCGGCCGGTCCGCCGGGCGTCCCTCCGCCGCCACGTTTCGGAATGGAGTGAAAGGCTGTCACTGGCCCGGGCCGCGCCAGCCCGCCTCGCCCGCCTCGCCCGCCGTGACTGACGGGTTACACGGGCTTACAATCAGCCGGCGGACGGCGCGCGCTGTATCGCCTATGGTATCGCGGCCGCCGCCAGCCCCGCGGCAAAACTGAACTACAGCAACTCAAAATGGAGGGAAGAAGAACGGATGTTCCCGGTATTCGAACCCCGCCGCAATGAAATATTGGGGCTGCGGCCATGGCGGCGGTGCGACGCCGTGGCGGTGGAGGGGGTAGGGCCGTAACGGCTTGCAGGGCGGGCCTGGCGGGCCTGGCGGCGCTGGCGGGGTGCGACTTTTGGCACCTCGACGCCCCGACGCGCCGCGCCGCCCACAAGACCCCCACCCCCCACGCAGCCAATCACGGTGCGCGGCGAAAAAGGGCTGAGCCCTCTCGGCCACCCCGGCCCTTGGGCCCTCTTCGCGGCCGCCGGCGGTACGCGAAGCCGGGCCTGGCGGGGCGGGGCGGGGCGGGGCGGGGCGGGGCGGGTCACCGGCCTGCAAATGGGATTACACGCGGGTGCTGCCACGCCGTGCCGGCCGTGCCACAGAGCCACCGCCGCCCCGGGATGCGCTGCGGGCTGTCTTTATTTCCGCCAGGCCGACGGCTCGCCGACGGCGCCTAGCTCGCAGTGCGGGGACCGCGGGGACCGGCGCGGGGGCGGTGGGGGTGCTGCCTTTCCGAACAGCGCGCGGCACGCGACCCGCTCACCTCCGCGCGACAAAGCCAAGCGGCGCGGCATTTACTGAAAAATCTTGATTAGCCCCCCTCCCCTCCCGCCCCGGCGCGCCCTGCTGCGCCCCGGCCCGCACTGTTTGTAGAGGGACTCATTAGAATCAATTTGGCCGCCGTGAGCGGTGCGCGCCGTGCCCCGGCTGCCCCCGACCCGGCTGCCCCAAGCCTGGTCGCTGCGGTGTGCTCAGGCAGCACTGCTCACTCCGTCACTCCTTCTGGTCGCGTGATGCCCGCCTTTAATTGGGTGAGATATTCCCCTTTCCGAGCGGCCTGATAAACGCCCCCGCGACACCCCCCACCTCCTCCCCCGCTCCCCGTGACACCTGGGGTGGCACTGTCATCCGGGTCGTGATAGCGAGGCCCGTCGTGATAGTCGCATAATTATAGGGCTGTCGGGAAGTTTGACGTAAACGGGACGCTTTTTACGTCACAGGAGCCCTTCCGTGCTGTAACACACGATCGCATGGCCCTGCATGGCCGTGGCGCCGCGGCCCACCGCGATGCCTTTTCCGAAGCATCGGCACGGCGCCCCGTGCGACTCCGCACAGTGGGCCAGAAGACCGGTGGAGGCGGACAAAACTCAAGACGCGTTTTGAGCACCAGAGTCGCTAAACAGGCCTCGAAACGAACGTGTGACCCCACCAATGGATTCCTCGTTGGGAGAGCAGTCCATTGGTGGGGTCACACGTTCGGTTCGAGTCCCATTCAGCGACTCTTGAGCTCAAAACGCGTCTAGAGTTTTGTCCGCCTCCACCGGTCTTCTGTCCCACTGCGCTCCGTCCACCCATCCGTCAGTCGCGGCGTCCGTCTGTCCGTCCGTCGCTATAAATCCGCGACCCACCGCAGCGAGCGGCGAGGCGAGGCAGTGGCGTGGCGCGGCCCGCCGGCAACGCGGCAACGCCCTGGGAACGGCGTGATAATGAGGCGAAGCAGCGCGAAGGAAGGATGTCCCTCCGTCTCCGGCCGGCTCAATCGGGCCGTTAAAACGTTCAAATGAAACCGCGCGACTTGGGCCTCGCCCCGCCGCCTTCGCCATTTCCCAATCACTTTCCTGGAATGGCCACAGGTCCGCCCGCTCCGCCCGCTCCGCTCCGCCACGGCCACCGCCAGTCCCGATCGCACACCCGGTAGCCGGGCCGTTATCAGATGACAGGGAACTCCACTCTGGTTTTGTGTGTGTGTGTGTGTGTGTGTGTGTGTGTGTGTGTGTGTGTGTGTGTGTCTCCGTCTTATTAGAAAGAGAAGCTCGGAGGCGCCGCGTGTCCGCTAATGTGTGTTATTGTCTGTGTGAGTCCATTGCCGCAGCCACCTTGCTCGTGTGTGTGTGTGTGTGTGCGTGTGTGTGTGTGTGTGTGTGTGTGTGTGTGTGTGCCAATGTTTGTGCGTGTGTGTGTGTGCGTGTGTGAGAGAGAGAGAGAGCGAGTATACGCGTATGTGTCCCGTCAATACACTCTGCCCGGCCGGACATGTAAATTCTCCCTCCTATTTTTTATCGTGTACACGATGTAATTGTAATACGCGGAATGGAATGGGAGGAACGACTCTGCCGTTGATGGCGGTCGCGATAGCGAGAAAAAAAACTGCGCCAAGAGGGAAGTGTGCATGAAAGAACGTGGAAGGGACTCAACGCACTTGGCACACGCGAGAACATTTTCTTTCCGACTCGTGAGATTTTTTTTTCGATATCGTCGAGGGCGCGCGCGCGGCCGCAGCCAAGTTGGCTAATTTTCGGGGACTTGGATTTTTTTTAACCCTCTCTCTCTCTCTCTCAATAGGCTGCTGCTGCTGGCGTGAACAACTGCTCTTGAAAGCGTGCGTTGTTTAAAAAAATGTTTTGTTCGAACTGGTGATGAACTCGGGTTTTCTCTGTTGCAGATGCCTCAGGTAACTTTCTACCACTTCCTACACTGGGAGACTGCGAGAAGTGAGTACTACGGGGGTCCATACGTGTCGAGCAGGCTTTGCAGGGAGCAAAAAGCCCTGGCTGCTGGACAACGCTCTGACAAACATTCACACACACACATGCACGCAGGCACGCACACAAAATACTGGAGCATTTCGGTGGGGTGGTGGGGCTCCAAGCGTAAAATTAGCCGCCCTTGAGACTGGGCTGCAGGACGCCGAGCCGGCCGAGGACGACGACAAGGGACGCAGATGAAAAGTAAGGAGGGGTGGAGGGTGTGTGTGTGTGTGCGTGCGTGGCGGCCTCCGTAAAACCACCCTCCCCTCAATCACTCCTTTACTGCTTCTTTCCTGCGCGCACTTCCGGTATTCTTTCCGTTCCTCTCGCTGTTTGCCACGACGCTATGCAATAAGCTTACCGCACTATATATCGGAGGACCAACGCGACAAAAAAAAAATCTGAGAAGAAATTGTGAAGGCGCCACCTCCTATTGATTTACCTTTTCCAGTCCAGGGCGTGGGTCCGACGCGCACGAGCCTCAGCCTGTGTGTGGGGGGGAGGGGGGGGGGGTGCTCGCGACACCGTGACGGCCCGTGACAGTTGTCACCCCCTGGGCGTGACTGGGCACACCCTGCTTACAGTAGTGCCTGTTACAAAGACGGCACCGTTCCGGACACACACACGCACGCACGCACGCACTCACACCCACACACCCGCTCTGTGCGCCGCCGTACCTAGGCCATGAATAATACGTGCGTTCTGAGCGGTCCTTCTGGGGCACGTGCGCCGCCGGGGCGCGGCGCGGCGCGGTCACTCGGTACGTGCAAGCATTCGTGTGTGTAGTACAGCCCCCTGAATACATCACGATGCTAATGTCGTTACCTTGAGCTAATCTGGCCAAATGATCGCTGTGGAGCATCTCGCCCTGTCCCTCCAGTCCTTCCAGTGCCCCTATCCGGTGTCGCCTGGCGGCCCTGGCGGCGCGCGGTGGCGGTGCGGACTTTCAGAGTGGATCCACAGGGCGGCTGGTCGCGGCCTCGCGCCTCCTCCCTTCACATTGTGGTGGGGACTCTCTAAACAAAACGAAAAAGAGAAATAGATAGTTGGCCGCCCCTTTTGTACGCGGTCTCGCTTTTGTCCAGCCGCGTCTCCGATTTCAGAAGCCGCCATGACAGGTGGGAAACTAAATACACAAATTTGAAAAATTTCGTATTTTTTAAAAAAAAAAAAACACAACAAAAACAAGCTGTTTTTTTGTCGAGATTAGCAGCTTCTGTCGGCCAGAGTCTTTCTTCTCTCTTTCTCTGCGTTTTCTTCTAGCGCTTGTCTCGCTGCGCGCGGTACTAGTGAGTAGTCCCCAATTACCGAAGCGCGGCCCAGGATGCGTGCCGCCACCCCGAGGTGGCCAACTAGGGCCTTTGAATGCCCTCCCTCTCCCTCTCGCACTGCCGGTGCGGAATTGGGTCAAGACGGCGTGCGGGCGGTGCCTTGGCGGTGGCTTGGCGGTGCGTACCGCGGCGCCCGGCCCGGCCGGCCCGGCTCGCCTTGGAAGCCTTGGCTCGCCGCGACGCCTCAAAGACGCCGCCCGCCGCCAATTGGCGATGAGAGCCAGTCCCAGCGGACTGGTTCCGAGGCTCGTTCTCGCTGCCACGTCTCCCTCGCACTCAAGCGGCGTCCCCTGTCGGCGCGAGGGAGACGGAGTACGAACGCGGCTCTCGGCGCCAGTCTGCAGTCCTGTCCCGGGGGACGGCGACGCCGCGGTCTTGGGGGAGGCCGCGCGCGTCGTCGCCGAGGAGGCCAATGAGGCACATCGCGCGCAGGGCCGACGAGGGCCGCGAGGACGGCGTGGAGGAGGTCCTCAAAGACGGGGTGCTTGACGGCGACGGGGGCTCTGCGCCGTGCCTTCGGCCACTCCGGCCGGGCGGGGCGTCCAGCGTGTCCTGGGACATTTTGATTTTATTATTAAAATGGATTCAAACGCTCCTGTGGGGCGGTGGCCGGGCGAAATGCCCCTCTCGGTGGGGCTGCAATTCACGTCCCTCATAAATCGTGGCGCGGTTCGAGGACGAGCGGGGCGGGGCGGGGCGGGGCGGGGCGGGGCGGGGCGGGGCGGGCGGGGCGTCGCGGTGGCTGAGCCGCGCCTCCCAGGTGATTTACTGGGCGTCGGGCGCATCGCGGCGCCATTCGGCCATACTGCACTGCAGGGCGTTACTGGGCGACAAGCGCCCCGCCCCGCCCCGCCACACGCGCCTGTTATCGAATCGGCCAACCGCGACGCCGGCGGGTGCGGCCCCACGACGCCTGGGGCGTCGCCAGCCGAACGCGGCCGCTCCGCCGTCTTTACGACGCGCAGGGAAAAAACGGAGACTCCCTTGGCGGGGATCGAACCCGCGGCCTCCTCTCGGACGAGCGCGATGTCGTGCATGGAGAGTGGCTTCACCGACGCGACGCGGGGCGGGAAGGCGGCCGACGAGGAAATGTGGGAAAATGGGAGAGTGTGCTCTAGTGGGGACCGGAGGGGCGACAGGGGGAGGGATGCGTGATTAGGGTGCCTGTTACCAAGTCATCAATCTTGGCCCCTTAGAAAAGCTGGAGCGGTTCAGGTGCGCGGGGGGTGGGGGTGGGGGGGGGGCGGCGGAGGAGGGCTGGAGTAATGGTAGGGTGCCGGCCGTGCAGGCGGGCTCGGGGACAGCGGGAAGGGCGTATGGATGTGCGCACTGCCCCGCACCGCTCGCAGGGAGTACCAGGTGCCTCCCCTCCCTCAGGTGCATACCCCGGCTAACTGCTGCTGCCAGCCCTGCCAGCCCCGCTCGGTCCGCTCGATTTAGGGCGACAGTTTATTTGTCCTTGTTTACACTGCACCGGCGGCGCGCGGACACCTGCTGGCTGTCCCAGGACGTCCCAGGACGTCCCGGGACGTCCCAGGCACTCTAGGCGGGCGCCACACGGCCAGGCACGGGACGCAAACAGTTTCATTTGACCTAGGCAGCGTCTTGGTGACACGACGCGGGCTTGCGCGAGGTGAGGGGAGAGGGAGACGCCGCATCAGCAGCACGATGACCACGGGCAGGATGAGGAAGAGAGGGGGGGGGGGCTTTTTGGCCGTCGTGCCGCATTATCATAATTCGATATGATGAAAAATGCATGACTCTGCGCCCGCGCGCCCACCGCCGAACGCATGCAGAACAGGGCGCACTGTCCGCCCGGCCCCCGGCCAGGCCGGCCGTATGCCGAGGGAAGAGGTTGGTGGCGCAAATCTAGCCTCCCTCCCCTTCCTCGTCAACTTGGGTTTTGGGCTTTGGATGAAAAGTCGGTGCAATTGTCAAATTTTCTATTTATCATTTCGGTACATTTTTTTCCCGGCTGGTGCAGGGTTGAAGGAACACTGGTTTACAATACAGCGAGGCATACTCACCCACACCTACATTCATACGCGTGTACGTGCGCAAACTCACGCACACGCACACACTCACACACACACACACACACGCACACACACACACGAGCGCGCTCGACGCCCTCTGTGCCAACTTGGTCCCTCTCGTCAGGGCCGGTCGGCGGGCCGGTCGGTGTTACACGGTCAATTTGGCCGATCTGGTCCGGGCGACTCGGGGACGACGGGGACGACTAGGACGACGGGCCCGAGGACGGCAGCAGCGCGCTCCGCGTGGCGATACGGGGAGGACTGATTATACGGGCAGGCGCAATCAGACGGCCGGGACGGGGTGGACGGGGTGGAGCGGGAGCGGGGCCTCGGGGGCAGCCCTCGGGGGCAGCCACCAGGGCCGCTAGCCAGCAGCGAGGACGGAGCGTCGCGACAGCGCCCGGCCCGCCAAAACGCCCGGCAAGGTAGGCAAGGCGGCGGCACCGCAGCACCGCGGGTTGGCCTACCTGCTACCATTTTCCCGCCAAGAGCATTTTTTTCAGACGCCCGCCCGATCAGGCTTCTTACTGGTTACTCCCCACTGTAACTTTGTCGCAGTCTCTCTCGCACTCAGGGCGCGCGCGGCGATTCCCGGTTTCATTTAAATGCCCTCGAGTCCGTGACGGTGGAAAAAACTGTCTCGAGGGCCATCGCGGTGACGGTGATCCGCACTCTGTGCCTCTTCTGCTCCTCCTTCTCCTTCTCCTTTTGGGGCCGCCGAGAAGGGGCGGGGGTGGCTTTCTTTCTCTCTTTTTTTCGAGCGCAGTTTGGGTCGTGTTGGCTCAGTGTCGCGTTCGACGAACAATCGGCGCGAAATGAACGGCGGATTGCCTGGGTGACGCAGTCGGACGCAGTCGGACGCAGTCGCCACCCCCAGCCAATCGCTCCGTCTCTCTCGCACCCTCACGGGACCCCGATGAGTGGGACCGAGACAGAGCGATGGGGTCGCTCGGAATGAGGCCCGCGGCCCGCGCGCTGCGGCGTTGCAGTCCGGCTGAAACAATGCAGTTTGCCGAGCCTCCGTGCGGCACGCAGCGCGACGCAGCGTGTGTGACTCCAGGGTCTTTTTTTTGGCGGCCTTTTTGCCGTTTTTTTCGTGCGTCGTTTTGCATGCCTGATGTCCCCTGCCGTGGGTGACGCCGCGCGGCGCCTTCGCCTTGGAGCCTTCCAGCCTTGCAGCCTTGGCGTGGAGTGGGCTGATGACTCGCGGCTCGGCTCCTTCACCTTTCGCCGCCTTGCCGCCTCGCCGGCTGCCTGCCTGCCTGCCTGCCTGGATTAGCAAGCTGCGTTGTCGCCTCCTCGGCGGCGCCTCCTTTGCGACGCGCTGCCGCCGAGACGCTCCTCGTCTCCACGGACCACCTCCGGGGCATCGCCCTGTCTCTCTCGCACCCCCGCGGGCCGCCCCGGCCGCCCCCACGAGTGCGAGAGAGACAGAAAACCGCTTGCGTCCAGGGTCGTCGCGGGGGCCTCTCGAAACTTGGGGCCTTCTGTTCTTTAGCGGACACGCCAAGGACGTCGTCGCGCACACTCTCTCCCGCCCCGCCCCGCCACACGCCC